CTAGATATGATGTACATCCCTTGGCCAAACACTTTCTGGCTTTCATTAGGGAAATGATTCCAGAGTTTACTCTGCGTTTGTCTCCATACACCATAAACGACTCTTTCCCTGGCGGGTTTACTTTTACTATCTTCTTCCTACACAATATTTCGGCATCATTGGCGCTAAGCCAATCCATTCCTAAAACTATGTCGAAACCATTTAACTCGATAGGCAATAATTCCTCGTGGAACTTATTCCCATTCAAGTCAATGAAGATGTTTTTCATACGATGGCTAACAGGTACAAACTTGCCACTAGCAATCTCGACTATTATAGCATTAACTAGTCTATCTACAGGCAAAGCTAGTTTTCTACCAATTCATGCGAAATAAAGGAGTAATTGGCTCCAGAATCAAACAAAATTTGGGCAGGCAATTCGTTTACGAGAAAGGTACCTGAAGCGACATCGGCTTCTTCTTTCGCAGCTTCAAGTGTCATCTGAAAGGCTCTCGCCTTCGGCTTTGGTGGAAGATTGGGTTTGCTGCGTCCTTCTTCTTCGGGCAATCCTCAAAATATGCCCTTCTTCATGGCACCCAAACAACGTTCTTATTGAAGGTGCATTCATTGGCATAATGCCCTGGCTTTCCACATTTGTAACAAGTGACTTCCACGCTGCATTTCCCAACATGTTTCTTCTTACACTTGTCACACCACTTGGCTTCGGCTCCTCCTCCGAATTTTCTCGAACCAGTCTTCGAGATTTGTTCTTTTTTATTGGAACCTGAAGTTCCTTCAAACTTTCTCTTTTCGCCAACTTCAACCTTGCTGGCGGCTCTCCCCTTAATCATATCTTCAACAGACTTGGCAGCCCAGACAGCTGCCTCCAATGTAAGTGCCTGACGTACTGGCACCGCATACTCCCATGGAAGTCCCTTTGCGTACTGTCAATTTTTGCCAGCTCATCTGGGACAATACGCAAAGCAAACTCCATTTTGTCTGTGAATTTATTTGTATTTCATCAACGGTCATACTCCCTTTCTTCAACGTTAGAAATTGGTTTTCTAGCTCAAGCACGTTTTGGGCCGAGCAGTACTTGCGCTTGAAGTGCACCAAGAACTCTGCCCAAGTCAGTTGCAGTGGCTCATTAGGGCTTAGGGTTTTCCCCAGAGTGTTCCACCAACGAGCAGCACTACCCCTGAACTGACGCACTGCAAATGTGGTTTGTAACTTTGCCTTGGCAACCACAAGTCATGAAAGCCAATTCCATTTCCGAGATCCAATCCATTACTCCGACGGGATCTTCTTTTCCAGTGAAGGTCGATGGCTTGCAAGTCATAAAGTCCTTATACTTGCACCCATTTCTCTCCACTCTATCCTCGTGGTTATTTCTCCCAACCAAAAGCGGTTCACTATGACCAACAGATCTACTGTTGTTTCCTTCTTCAGATCGATCGTCATTTAATTCACGTTGTTCAACAGAAACTGAAGGTTCATCCTTGTTGTTCAGCAACATTTGCCTCAATTCCTCCCTTTGTTTAGCCATCATGGTCTGAATCATAGCTCGTACTCCAGCCATGGTGATGGGTTCTGGTGCAGCTCCTACTATAGGCACCTGTTCCACCACTTGGGGTTGAGGTTGTTGGTTTCTGTTTGCATTTCCCGCTCCACTTCGAGTTCTTGCCATTATAATCTATATGCCGAATAAGGCGAATTTAGGTCTTTATCCTTGATAGATATTTCAATTCCCTTATCACTCCGAAACGTTTACATGTTAGTTCTAATCTCGTAATCGTACGCTTAGAATCCTACACACATAAGGTTTCCAGATCCGGTCGGCAACAGACCATAGATCCGAACAAATAATGGCATATATGGCAAACATATAGCATTTAGCACATAAAAGCATTTTAGGCACCTTTCCTAAAATAAACTAGTGCTTGTGTCTAAAAATATGGTAGACACTCATCTCACAATAATCACTTAGCATTCTAAGTTTAAGTTAGAAATCCTACAAATTCCTAGTTCGCTTAAACTAATGCTCTGATACCAACTGTGACATCCCCTAATTTCTCGGCCAGAAAAGACCGATTTAATTTATGTTTTTAAAATAAAATCAGAGAAATCCTTTTAAAAGATGTTGTGGAATTGGTCCACAAAACAAAACATGATAAAAGTTTATCAAAACCTTTCTTTAAGAAATATATAATTTCCTTTTATATCAAAACCTCGGGATGTCATGTTCTGATACAGATCAAAAGCATAAACAAGACATTATAAGCCTTACAACAGTTATTTACAACTACTGGCCTATAATCCAAAAATCTCTCATCATCCTCCGACTATGTTCGGGGTCCACTACCTGTAATAACAAAAAGCTGAGTGGGTCAGGCTTGGGAGCCTGGTGAGCATATAGGGTTTTCAACCCACAATAATAATAAACTTATTAAGTTCACCAATCAACAATAACCCTGATTACCCATTCCCGTTATCCTCACTTTACGTCCCTAAACACCTATCACAAGGGACCTAGCCTAAGGAATATCATCGGGATGGACACTACTGCTAAGGGGACTCCTCAGCCATACATGTCCTAAAGACAACCATGAGGGGGATGGAGTAAGCCAATGAACATTTAGTTCACCAACACCTACAAGTTGCGAACCTGCTAGTGTTCCACTGGACTGTCTAGAAAGGTCTGTGGTCGTCATCTATACTCCGCTAGACGACTACAACAATAACAACAACATCAACATCGAGGCCTCTCACCATTTTAACACACATCGACTATTTCGTCTACCCATGTTCTACCCAACATATTTGTAGATAAAATACATATACAGTTTAAAACTTGTATAAAACCTCTATTCAACAGTCACCTCAAATAAACACTTAATATAATTACACATAACACGTATTTTATAGAAAATACTTCATATCTAGGTGTAAGATGAAAGTGACTACACAGTCACTTGATTTAATGATAATCGGGCAGCACTTCGTTTCCTAAAACGATCGTTTCTAATAAAACGGGGAGTTTTATTGAGAAACCGGGCTCTGCGAGGGTTGGACTTCAAAACCGAAAAGATAAATTTATCGGGCTTCTCGGGCACTTCGGGACGTGTTTCGGGTGTTTGGTATGATACCGGGGCTTTGGGGGAAGTTGGAATGAAAAAAATATTGAAAGAGGGGTGAAAATTGACAAATTTCCAAATTATCCCCGGGAGGTCTCGCACCCTTCTATTTATAGGGGCGAGGCTTCTGATCGGACGGCTGAGAGGCTACCAGGTGGCAGCATATCCGAAGAGGAGTCACATGGCTCGCACGTGCGAGGGGTGAGCTGCTGACCTCTGATTGGACCGAGGTCTAGGGTCCGAGGGTTGGAGTCATGGCGCACCTGCGAAGCTCGGACACGTCAGGAGGGCACGCGTCGCTCCGCGGTTGGACCAGCGCTTCGGATGCGAGGAGTCACCTGGACACGCGTCGGACGGAGGCGAGGCGGCTTCAGACGGCTCTCCGGATTCGAACACGCGTCTGCCAGCTGCTCGGATGACTCAACAATTTTGGACACGTGGCACATTATGAGCGAGGGGTGACGTGGCCGAAGTCCACCATGCGAAATTTCTCGGATTTGACATTTTTTCTCGATTTTTGTGCAAAAAGTTCTAAAATCCATAACTTTCGCATACGAGCTCCGTTTTTGACGTTCTTTATATGCACGCATAGGTAAAATTACGCTCTACAACTTTCGTTTAGACTTCGTCGGCTAATTTTGACTTTAATTTTTATATTATTATTTTTAACAGACCAGGACAGGAAATCCGTTAAAAATTCATAACTTCTTCATCCGACGTCCGTTTTCGTCTGTCTTTTTACCGTTGTACTACTATTAACGAGACCTTCGATTCTCGTTTAGGTTGTGTCGGCTAAAAATCACTCGATCTAAAATTCGACTTTTTAGCTGTCTACTGCTAAGCTGAATCTTAGAAAAATCATAACTTCCTCATACGAAGTCAGATTTGGGCGTTCTTTTTTATACATACTCTCGGTTTAACGAACACTACGACTTTCGTTTAGATCACTAAGGCTAAAAAGTAGTTTATCAAAAACTCACTTTTTACGTCATTCGGCACCGTGCCGGTTTTGTCGTGAAACTTCGACAGGTCATTACTTCTTCGTTATAACTCGGATTTCGGTATTCTTTATATATCCGTAATCCTTGTCAAGACCACTACAACTTTCTTAATAGATATCGACTTTATCTAATATTTATTTTCGACGCTCATTATTATTCTTAATTAATTAAATCCTAGTAATTAAGCATAAAACACATAATTTTCACATAATTCCTTTTCATTTCTTCAAAATGAGTTACAAAGGTTAACCTAGACTATCACATCAATATTAATGTCTAGCCTAGAAACACGGGTGTTACAATGGTTGTTTTACTTCAAACCCCACATGGGTGTGTCCCTTTTTAATTCGAGACGTGTGTCTGGGACTCAATCGAATCGACAGTGTAAGGTTGGTGGGGTGTTGGTGGAAATTAAAGACAGTAATTACTCATTGCATGTGTCATCGAGTCAACTCAATCTTGACTCAACAGGTTAACTCACATGCTTACTTTGCAAGTGACGAGGCAGGTTAACCTGCTAAAATGGATAACATGACTTTTCCAATCGGTAAAACACAAGTATATGCCCTTAAAATGAAACAGATAGTCACGAGAGACCATTTAAACCATATATGTAACTTTGTTGAGTTACAGTAATAATAACCCAAAATGCAAACCACAAAGATTTTTTTGAAAATTCTATGAAAGATAAAATGATATTTTAGTAGTTCACAACTGGATTCAATACAAATTTTGTTGTAACATGTTCAAAACTAATTATAAAAATGTGATTATTTAGTTTTATAAAACTTAATGATGATTTATCGTTCTTTTTTTATTAAATTGTCAAATATCAAAAAATTGATTAACTAAACTTGTAGAGTGCAATGAGTCAAACAAATAGTCCTAATAATTGTAAAAACTCAATCCGAAACACCCCTTTGATTTTGTTGCGCCTCTCTTTCATCGACGAATGGAGGAGGTAAGCAGTTGTTTTCACAGTTTTGACATGTAGCGTACTTTATTGTGGAAAAATTGGAGCAAAAGGCCCCAATTCCCAAATCAAAATGATAACCAAATGCTAAATTTCAACCAACATCCTTTGGGTTGCCTATCTGCTTTCTACTCGCACCTCACCCAACATATGGTTTGAATTTGATGATCCTTTTACTTTTAATGTTACAAAAAATCCAACTTTGTACTGTTCTCCAAGATTTCTTGTACTTGGTCTAGGTTTTAAGTTGCTTTAATAACTCTCTTGTTCTTTATCTGAATTTTCTCCTTTTTCGTAAGAATCTTGTTTAAAGTCGGATTCTCTTCATACTGTTGTCGGCAGGTGGTGAGTAACTGAGTATCATGAAAATGTGGGAACATAATTCATCTTCACCATGGACTTCGATTCTCTTTTGATGATTATGCCCACTAGTGAACTGGGTTCCTTTGATTCTCCGTGGATTCATCAGCTTCATTGGTTTCTGCGGATTCTTTGAATTGCGTAAGGTCAGACTTCCACTCCCAGAAACATTATCTATTAGTCTATTACACTCTGACGTCAAAATTAACAAAGTCTATCTGGAAGATTCCTTATTTATTTCACTTTTTAGATACTTTAGTGGTTGAACCCTTTCAGTATTTGATTGGGTTGTTGGAAGTTGAGATCAATTATAAAATTACCAATCCTAAAGATCGCCCTTTTTTCTCAACATATAGGTTCGCAATTGTTCTAACAAAAAGCGTTAATCGATTGATATGATTAGGGGTATGGGTTGGCTAACTAAAATTTTAAAAGGGTCCAGCTCAAGCCATAGAATCTCAGAAGGTCGATATCATGACAGATACGAAAATGAAGAAGTTTGGGAGGAGCCTCCTTCTACAGAGGTGGTTAGCATTTTCTTTACTTGTTAATTAATATCTATATCTATAACTATATCAATGTATGTGACTATGTGGTATTTATCTAAAATTGCACTGAATTTCTGTACTTTTTTGTCCTAAATTTAGGATGCATTGTCAGACTTTGATCAGGAAGAAATTGACAGAGCTATTGCATTTTCCCTTGTTGAAGAAGATGAGAGAAGTGCACTTTCCCTTGTAGAAGATGACAAAAAAAGTGCACGTTCAAGTGTACATGAAGAAGAAGGCTCAGTTTCTTCTCTAGAAGAAGATCATAATGATGCAGTTTCATCTCCAGAACCAGAAGAACATAACAGAGGATCAAATTCTCCTTCTCAAGAAGATCATAAAGGAAAAAAAGTAATTGGTAGGTTGAAATTGCTATGAATTGAGAAATTCTCCATCATTTCGTTTGTCATATACTTACTTAAGTGATACCCCTATCTTATTAGATGAAGATCCTCATTTGGAGGAAGATGAGCAGCTTGCCATGGCTATTCAAGAAAGCTTGAACATCAACATGAACTCACCACCACGAAATAACCATGGAAGCCTGTTTCCTCGTTTGCCAAGTTTCTTTCCAGGTGTATACAGGTAGTTTTTTTTTTTTTTAACACTTATTTTTTCTTCCAATATTACCCTTTGCAATCCATCTGAAACATGTGGAATGTAGGATATGTGCAGGTTGCAATGGTGAAATTGGTCATGGGAGATTTTTAAGCTGCATGGGAGGCGTTTGGCATCCAGAATGCTTCCGTTGTCATGCTTGCAATATTCCAATATCTGATTATGAGGTCCAACTCTACTCCAATTCTTTAACAAGGTGTTCCTATATTCCTTCTAAATTGACACCATAAGGTTTACATAATTTAAAGAAAAAAAAAAGATGTCAGATTTGGATTCAGAAGTCCATGAAAATCACAACATTTCTTGTTTCTTGAAAGTTTTCATTTCAAAATTTTACCTTTTTACTCTTTATCATCTATGTAGTTTTCCATGTCTGACAACCGTCCGTTCCACAAATCATGCTATAAAGAACATCATCACCCAAAATGCGATGTTTGCAAGAACTTTGTAAGTTTCTTGTTTGTTATGCCCTTTTGAATCTTGAAACTATGGTTGTATGTAGATAAACTGATAAAGATTGTTTTTTTTTCTTTTAAATTTATGGGCAGATACCTACAAATGGGGCTGGTTTAATCGAGTACAGGGCACATCCTTTCTGGCTACAAAAGTATTGTCCTAGCCATGAACATGATGGGACCCCTCGATGTTGTAGCTGTGAAAGAATGGAAACAAGAGACACAAAATATCTGTTGCTAGATGATGGAAGAAAGCTATGTTTGGAGTGTCTTGACTCTTCAATAATGGATACTCATGAATGTCAACCCCTTTATCTTGAAATCCAAGATTTTTATGAAGGGTTAAATATGAAAATTGAGCAACAAGTTCCATTGCTTTTGGTTGAAAGACAAGCACTAAATGAAGCCATGGAAGGAGAAAAACACGTAAGTCTTAAATAACTTAAATGTTTTTATTTTATTTTTTATTTTTTAATACTAGTGAAACTGTTTTTTGAGTTCAAAAATCTTGCATTGGTAACAGGGTCATCATCATATGCCTGAAACTAGAGGACTTTGTCTTTCAGAAGAACAAACCATCAGCACTGTATGATTCTTAAATCTTAATCTTTTTGCATTAAATAGTAAATATGGTGTTAATGTTTTTATTTTATTTTATTTTACTGAAAATGGCAGATAATAAGGAGGCCAAGGGTAGGGGCAGGTAGGATAATAGACATGTTTACAGAGCCTTATAAACTTGTTCGTAAATGTGAAGTGACAGCTATTCTCATTTTATACAGTCTCCCTAGGTAAGTTTTTATAAATTTTTTTGGTATAAATTCATAAATCATTCTTCAATATGTGATCATATATAATTAAAAAGTTCATCAATTCAGGTTATTGACGGGTTCAATTCTGGCTCATGAGATGATGCATGCATGGCTCCGGCTTAAAGGTTCTTGCTTTTTCTGTTTTTTTGAGTGGACCATTTTGCCCTCAATCATCTTTCTTAATTCTTCCATTTCTCTCTTGTGTCAATCAATAAACAGGATACTCTAATCTCCCCCCTGATGTTGAAGAAGGGATTTGTCAAGTTCTTGCTCATATGTGGTTGGATTCTGAGATCATGGCTGGATCTAGTGGCACTAATGCTGCAGCTGCTTCATCATCTTCTTCATCATCATCATCATCTGTTCCTGTTTCATCAAAGAAAGGCAAAAGGTCACAGTTTGAGAAGCAACTTGGTGAGTTTTTTAAACACCAGATTGAGTCAGATACATCTGCAGCTTATGGAGATGGATTCAGAGAAGGTAATAAGGCTGTGCTCAAGTATGGGCTTAGAAGCACTCTGGAACATATTAGACTTACTGGAAGATTTCCTTGCTAGTCAACTGGAAAGTCAATGGCTTTTGAGAATTAAAAGAAGAAAAGATGAATAAAGAACTGTTCCCATGAATGGTTCCAACTTCCAAACCCTATTTGGAAAGTGGCATTACAGGATTTTTGGTTTTTACTTTCTACAACTGTTGATATATAGGGTAAAAAATGAAATGTGATGATATAGAATGACATGTGTTTCTATTTATACAAGACCTCAGTTTAGCCCCTTTCTACTTTCTATGAAGCAGCCTAAGGTTTTACTGCTTTACTAAATGACCAAAATGTTACGTGGAAGAGGTTGTAGTGCATTTGAAATGAGACTGGACTGATGTTAAAGGGACAAAAACTTGTAATCTTTTGCTCCACCCAAAGTGATAGACAATTGTGTTACTTAAAATCTCAATCATTAATTGATTTCCAAACCATTATGTAAGAAATAGAAGTTAATGTGAAGGAAAAAGAATTGTGGATCACCAACAAAACATTAAAGACAGACACCAAGATTGGAATAGAGATCGTTTGGTACTATTCTGTTCTTTGGGATGAATCTGAAGGGAACAAAAGTGGGAAATTAAAAGGAAATCCAAGGATGGTTATGTTTATTATATTACTTTTATTGATGAATTTTCTCGATTCACATGTAGCTATCCACTAAAATCCAAAGCAAGTGTCTCTGGTGTCATATCGTCTTTCCTGAAATTTATTCAAACTCAATTTTCTTGCAAGACCAAAATTTTCAAAAGTAACGGTGGTGCACAAATTCTCAACCAATATCATTGGGATTCATACATCTTTTTTTGTTTGCAAAAATGGTATGCATCTTGTATCTTTTTTTGTCTATGTTTATGAAATTATTCTTACGAGTAACCATCCACAAACTATTAACAAATTCATCTCTAGTCTCAAGAAGAATTTGCTATCAAAGACTTGGTCGTCTCAATTATTTTCTTGGTCTTGAGGTTGCTATGATGATGGTGGCATATCTTTAGGTCAAGCAAAATATGCCAAAGACATTCTTGTCCGAGCCACTTGCTCGGATCTAAACCTATGACAACCCCTATCTCCACTATGACGCTCTTTCAATTTCTGATACATCATTCACACACCCTACTAGTCGGTGCTCTTCAATATCTTACAATCATACGACAAGATTTATTTTATTTCGTTAATCAAGTAAGCCAATCTTTACATGCTCCAACATTTGATCATTGTCAAACCGTCAAGTGGGTTTTATGCTATGTCAAAGGACTGTTTCATATGGTCTCTCTTTCGACACTCCCCATTCCTTCCATTCTTGGCTATTCTGATGCGGATTGGGCTCGTTGCCTTGATACTAGACAGTCAATCTATGGGTATTTTATCATTCTTGGAGGGAATCTTGATTCTTGAAGTGCAAAGAAGCAACCAACCGTTTCTAGATTGAGTTGTGAATCCGAATACCATGGCATGTTAGAAAAAGGGTAGTGTTTATGGTGGATATTTGGATACCCATTGGATTGTGTAAACACTTTCCGAACTGATATTCCTACCCTATGTCCGGGTTACAAGAACTCAGCCTAGGATAATCCCAAGGGAATACTTACGAATCTAGGCACATAAAACATAAGCCAAATTGCTAGAAGATTCTGAGTTTGTATGAAAAAAAAAACGAGAGCTAAAAGGGTTATCATTCTCCACAAAAAGAGAGTCGTTTATATAGAAAAACGATAAGTAGGGTTTCGTTTTAGGGTTGGCCATCATGGGTTGCTTTGGAAACAAGTCAAGGGAATCCATAATTAATGAGGAAATCAATGGTTTCCAGCCAGGGGCTCTGCCCCTTGAACCCCGCTTAGGGCGCTGCCTCTAGACCCCACCAAAAGGGCGTTGCCCCTTTGGAAACCCCGGACCCAGGGGCGCTGCCCCTGGACCCCCTACTTGTCGTTGAATCGGCTTATAATTCAATCTTATACATGCGTGCACTCCGCACATTCCCAGACATATATTAGAGTACAAATTACGAAGCCACTTAACTCACATGTAAGTTCCAATACACAAAATGACCTGGTGACACTAAAATCACCAACATGACATGGCTAACACGATAGCAAAAATAGTATGGGGCACTCATCTCTTAGGGGAATTTCACGTCTTGCCACCTGATCACCCTACACTCTTTTCTGACAATCATATTGCTCTGTTCACAAGTCGGAATCCTTTCTCACAAACATGCTAAGCACATTGATATTGATTATTATTTTGTGCATGAACTAGTTTCTTCAAGTAAACTTTACACTCAGTTTGTGCCAACCAAGCGTCAACCGACATACATCTTCACCAAAAGTGTCCAACGACCACTCTTCGAGTTGGTTTGCCACACGTACACTTCAGAGAGTGGGTGTGTGTATGTAGGATATATCTACAATCTTGTAGTGATATTATTTTTTGCTCTTTTTGTATGTATTTTTCCATTTCCTAAATTATTGTAATATTTGTCTATATATGGATGATCAAAATGAGATAAAAATAAAAAATACTTTGCTATAAAAACTGAAAAACATAAAGTACATTGTTATAAAAAGTGAACGATTCAGTGTTTATAATTATATTAATATGATAAAAGATTAGGTATCCCAATAATTCAAAATAATTACTTTTTAAATTTTCAATTCCAAACATAATTACATACCATATATTTAATATTATATTATATTAAAAACATTTATTAATATTATTGGTGGTTTGGTTTTTAGTGGTTCGGTTTTGGATGAAAACCATAACCAAACCATATGTATTTGGTTAATCAAAAATAGAAACCGCACCACCCTTTTTAGTAACGGTTCGGTTAAAATGATTCAGTTATTTTTGTTAATTTGGTTTTGGTTCGGTTTTTCGGTTAATATACTCACCCGTATCAAATATCTCCTCCACAACAATAGCGCGTTTAAATTTCTTGAAATGGTTTTTAAAATCTCTCTTCAGGGTGAATGTAGCTAGATAGAAAGTCCAGATTTCACCATCAATTCCTTTGCCACTTGAGATTCTTTTTTAAAGTTGCTTTGAAATCTATTAATATTCCTAAGTTGTCCTTTTCTTGTTATCCTCATCTAAGATGTTAGAATTCCATGGTTTTTGAAAGTTTCTAACAAGACAACCTTTAGCCAATATGCCACAGCTAACATCATAATCTGCCGTCCCAACTTGGATTCTTTATTTAATTACATGAATATATTACACAATTATTGGAGTCATCTTGGTTAATAAAATCAAGAAACTCATAAAGGTATGACGTATTCTATATAACTCCACTATAATATTAAGGATTGAAAACAACAGGATAGCAACTTCCCTATTCTTGGCACATAATAACAGAGATTTAGTAAGATCAAAATTCACCTGTCAATGAAGCTCATTACCATGGCATTCTCATTTCTTCCATTCCTAGCTTTTTCTGTCTTCTTCATTTTTAATCCATGCATTGTCTCTGCAACATCTACAGACACAAACTTCTCGTGTTCTGCTGACTCACCTCCTACCTGTCAAACCTACCTCACGTATCGCGCCAGGTCACCATACATGGATCTCGGTAACATATCTGATCTCTTTGATGTCAGTCGCCTAAGTATTGCAGAAGCTAGCAATCTCACATCAGAAAATCAAGACATTGTTTTTAATCAGCTTTTGTTAATACCCATCACCTGTTCATGCAATGGGAGTATTTATTTCTCTAAAGTCACGTATTCAATCAAGAAAGGCGATAGCTTTTATGTTGCTGCAACTTCTGTGTTCCAAAATCTGACTGATTATCATTATGTTCAAGACATGAACCCTTCTCTAAATCCAACCAATTTGACAATTGGTGATCAAGTGGTGTTCCCTTTGCTATGTAAGTGTCCTACAAAGTTACAAAAAACTCAAGATAAATATCTTATCACTTACATATGGCAACCAGAAGATAAACTATCACCTGTGAGCTCTATTTTTAACACAAGTTCTTATGATATTGATAAAGAGAACAATTTTCGTAACTTCACTGCTACTGTTTGTCTTCCAGTTCTTATACCAGTCTCTGAATTGCCAATCTTTCCTCCTCCACCTCACCTTGATAATCACCTCTCTGATGTAAAAAGTCAAAAGTCAAAGAAGCTTCGGATAGTGTTTATAGCTTTGGGAACTATCGGATCTTTCTTTCTTTTTATCCTGTTATTGTTTTTGGTTTATAAATATCGTTCGCGTAAGATTAAAAGAATCATAGCACGTAACGGGTCTTCTTTTGAGTTTACTGATCTTTTACATATGAAGAAAGGTTCAAAACTTGAAGGTTTTGAACCCACGAAGAACAATCAAGATAAGTTGCTTCCAGGGGTTTCAGGGTACTTAAGCAAACCGATTATGTATGACAGAAAGGAGATCATGGAAGCAACTATGAACTTCAGTGAAAGGTATAGAATTGGAGGGTCTGTTTACAAGGCTGTAATTCAAGGTCAGATTGTGGCTGTAAAGAAATTTAGAGATGCAACAGAGGAATTGAAGATACTACAGAGAGTAAACCATACAAATCTTGTGAAGTTGATGGGGATTTCATCTGATTTTGATGGGAATTGCTTTTTAGTGTATGAGTATGCTGAAAATGGATCACTTGACAAGTGGTTGTTTCCTTTATCTTCATCTTCTTCTTCGGGTTCTGTTGTTTTTCTTTCATGGTCTCAGAGGTTGAATCTAGCATTAGATATTGCTAATGCTTTGCAATACATGCATGAACATAGTCAACCTAGTATTGCTCATAGAGACCTCAGGACAAGTAATATACTTCTTGATTCCACTTTCAAGGCCAAAATTGGAAACTTCTCTGCAGCTAGACCTGCCATAAGCTCCATCATGTTAAAAGTTGATGTATTTGCTTTCGGGGTTATTCTCATGGAGTTGCTTTCAGGAAAGAAAGCCATGGAAACTAGAGAAGATGGAGAGATTTGTATGTCATGGAAGGAAATAAAGAAGATTCTAGAAGTTGAAGAAGAGAGAAGAGAGGAGAATCTAAGGTTGTGGATGGATCCAAATCTTGGAAGCTTTTACCCTATTGAAGGTGCTTTAAACATGGCAGTATTAGCTAGAGCTTGTACATCAGAAAAGTCTGCAAATAGACCAGGAATGTCAGAGATCGTCTTCAATCTATCTGTTCTTGCTCAATCATCTTCTGATATGTATGAAAGATGTTGGACTTCTCCTGAAACAGAAGATCCTCACCTCATTAGTCCAGTTGTAGCTCGTTGAAACATGCAAAAAAAAAAGTATATCTCACTGTGTGATATGTAATATATCTGTAAAACTCCATTCTCATCGTGTTTCTTGAATATACTTTTCGTCTATTTACATATTACATAGAAGAAGGTTTTGATACAATAAATCTCGAAGCTTTACACCATGAAAATTGATTCATAACATTCTATTGAGAATTTGAGATAATATAAAATAAAGTACATATCTAAGTCATTTTACAAAATCATCTCCCTTGAACTGAAATGGTTACTGAAACATCTACAGCCCGTGAGGTGGTCAAAACCCTAGAAAGAGATTGTGAAACTTCATTCATGTCAGGTCGAGCGGATGGATCTTTATCCAGGCAACCATCGATCAATCGGATTACAGACATGGCGAGTTGCGGAGGATAATCCCCTTGGAGAAAAGGGTCAACGAAATCGGTCAACTTTTGATTTTCGTCTGTATCTTCTTCCTCAAGAATATCATCCAAAACCTCAGACAAATTCTTCTTCACTTTCTCATAAAGCTCATACACATGTTTCCCTGTCACTATTTCAAGCATTAGAACGCCTAGTCCATAAACATCAAGCTTTGTGGAAACCAAACCGTTTTCTAAATACTCTGGAGACATGTAACCTCGAGTACCAACTATGTGTCTAGTCAGTGCGAATTGACCTTCTTGCCCTTCGGCTGATCTTGCGAGATCAAAATTTATAATCTTGGCTCTGAATTCATCATCGAGAAGGATGTTGCTGCTCTCTAGATTCTTGTAGACGTATGGAGGAGTGGTATAGCTATGAAGATAATCAAGCGCGTTTGCTACATCCAAAGCGATTTGTATTCTCTGAATCCAATTCAAGGATTTGTTGGTGGTTTGTTCATGTTCATCTTGATAGATCCAGGCACTTAAGGGTCCGTTGACAGCAAACTCAAAAACAAGGTACCAATGGCTGTCATTAAAACAAACACCTGATAGGCGAATGAGATTATGATGGTGAATAGTGTTAAGCAACTGAATCTCCTTCGAGACGTCTCCATGCATTTTCTTGATGGCAGCAAGGTCTCCATTGATGGTGCCTTTGTAAACAGATCCCTTGATTAAACAATTGGGGCTAAAATCTTGTGTGGCTGACTTAAGTTCTTCAAATTTGTATACTTTGAGGGATTGAGCTATGCTGTTCAAACTTTCCATGAAGTCCGAGTCTTCATCAACATCCAACTTCTTATCCCCTGGTTTCACGATTGCTTCAAAGCTCTGAGAAGCAGAAGAAACCATAGGTGGAGGAATCTGCTTTCTCTTCTGAAGAAAGCAAAACCAAAAAACAGCGAACCCAATTGAAGATGTGAGAGCAACCCCTCCAAGGACTCCCACGAGCATGTATATCCATTTATTATCACCGGAGGAAGTGGGTGGTGGTGGTGATGATGGTGGTGGCGATGTTGTTGGTGGGGGTGGTGGTGCTATGGTTTGAGATCTTGAAGGTTGGTCGGAGAGGGGAACTAAAAGGGTGGTGAAGGGATAAATGGTAAAATCTTGTTCTGATAATTGATTGGCTGCAAGAGTCACCCCAGTATCAACCCCAAAGATCGCACTTATGGATGAAACACTTTGTCCCCAAGTGATCAAGTAAGATAACAAATACCTGATACCATCAGCAGCTTGCTTTTCGGTTGGACAAGCACATCTTAAAGGCACAGTGAGTCTTGAACCAGGATATATATCAATGGTAAGATTGCTCTTTTCAACCTGAACAGCATGACAAGTCGATAGCCCTTCAAAAGTATTGTTTGCGATTGTGAAAGGGGTGTCTCCGGCTTGGATAACATACGTTGCATTGGCTTGATAGAACTCACCAAGACACGAACACCTGGTGGGCACGAGAACTGTCTCACCGGTTCCAAAAGTAGCGGTTTCAGAAACGGAATTGAGTTGAGATAGCTGAGTGGCGTTTGCATTCAATAGATTGGAGATGGAAGTAACAGTGTTATACGGGGGTCGGGATCGAAAGGTGAGATAAGCTTCGCAGGTACGATTAACGCCATTACAGGCATAACCAAGAACAGAAGTTGAGGCATTTCTGACCCTGCAGTTTGTGCTCAGCTTCTTGATGTATGGCTGCTGGGCTTTGATTGAAACCAGTGGAAAAATCAAAAGGAGAGAGAAAATTAAGAAAAGACGCACGGACGCCATGCTTCAGCTCAAATTAAGCAGAATTAAGCTCAGAAAACAGAAGAAGTTGATTAAATGGGAAGAAAAAGGTGGATTTGAGTCACATATATATGGAGTTGACGAATAGCTGGATGAAGAACGCGTAGGCATGATAGTAAAGATTTTAAAAGATATTGTCTGGAGTTTTTTTTTATCGAGGCAAACTGTTGAATTGAAAGAGTCGTATGGAAGGGAAGTAGATAGATTATAGAATGAATGGATAAAGTGACTGGAGTGAGTAAAAAATGGATATGAAATGGTGGTGGTGATCCATGATTGGATGTTGGTTGGGTCAACGAGAGCGGAACCATCCACACCAAACCAAACTATTGTACTACTTATGTAATAATTTCAAAGATGGTGACACTGTGTTATTTAATACTTTTTTAACAATTTTTTTTATTATTTATAATTATTAAATAGGTTTTATATCATTTCTATTTTTTTTTTATATAAACAATGGATGATTTAGAAAACAAAGACAAACGATTGTGTGGTAGGTTTTTATTGGAGCACATGATTTGATTTTAGTGGGTGATGGTAAATAAATTAATATCAGTAGGGTAGGGGTGTTGAAAATAAGGTAAAGTTGTTAAAATTACAATTTTGATTGTGCAGTTCTACAATCTTATTTAGGTAAATCGATTTTAATTGTATTTGGAATGTTTTACGGTAAGATTGAGGTATGATCGTAAGATTGAATTGTAGAAGCTTTACCATTTGCATATATATATATATATATATATATATATATATATATATATATATATATATATATATATATATAAGTAAATCGAATGTGAACACTATAAAACCTTTTTTGAATTGTTTATTGTAAAATGATGCATTGAAAATGCATTTTCATATTTTAAACTAGTTATTCTTATTTGAATAGTTAATTGGTTGATCAAAATGTATTTTTTAAGTTTTAAACTGTTTTTTTTTAGGATGTTACGATCTTGATCTTGTCAAGCGATCTTGTCAAGCGAAAAACAAATCTATATAGAATTTCGATATTGACAACCTTGGGATGAGGGCTCATTGTCCTTTAAAAACAAACAAAGATGGTCTGAAAATTGAGAATTATTGACACTATATATTTTAATTTATACGGAGACCTAGAATTAGGCATATATTTGACTTGAAATTGTCAACTATTGATTGAATGGATTAAGGTATAAACAATTTTATTTATTTAATATCCCTTGTTTGCATAGATTATTTATGAACAATCATGATTCATGTTTAATATTCACTAAAAGATCTCATTTAAAACTCATATATTTCACGAAGACAATTATTTTTCAAATAAAAAAAAGAGAAACTTATATAGATAATTTAATTGGGCTCACTAAATTGTGAAAAGATGTGGCCCACAGTTAACTTTATTTTTCTTTTTACTTTTTTCTGATACTATTACAATATATCACGAATCCTCATTGATAAATAAACATTTTTTTGACACATGTCATATTCTCATTTATTTTGTCACATGTAATTTTGTAGTTATTTTAAATTAATTTTTATTTCACATGTTATTTTATGGTTTTTTCATTTTATTAAATTTTAGATAATGTTTAAATTCAAATAAATGCATATCAATTTTATTAATGAACTTTCCTTCTAATTTCAAAATTACTAAATTAAATATTCATTAATTTTTTTATTATTTATTTAAATTTAAAAAAGAAAAAAAAACACTTTAATTTTTATAATTCAATATTTTCTTATTTTTCTTATAAATTTATACTTCTCAAATGCTTAGAGTTTTGTATTTAGTTTTTCTTTTAAATAAACTCATGTAATACATGGGTCTCACACCTAGTTTATTAATATTCGTTTGAGCTACATTTTTTTTGAACAGATCAATTACATCAACTGGGTAAGATGCTTGCACTTTATAATGAAAAGTATGGGTTCGCACCCCGCTATACCTCGTTTTTATTATTAGAAAATTGAAAAGGAAATTTTGCAAAAAAAAAAAAAAAAAAAACACATGGTATAGAATTGTTAGCGAATACATCCTGATTAGCGAGCACTATATATTTGTCATGAGTAAAAGCGAAAAACATGAATTTGAAAAAAAAAACATGAGCATATTCAAAAACTCAATTTTTTTATTTATAAATTTAAAAATAAGATAAATTTGCTAAAAAACGAATATAAAAGATCTTATGGCTGAAATTATTAAGTCCTGTGTTTTATAATTTATAGGTGATAGGTTCATAACCCAACAAAGAAAATAATGTCATTTTTTACTTTTCAAATTCTTAATTTCTTAAATTAGGTCTTTTTTACCAAAAACTCTACTTGGAAAGACATGCATTACTTAGAAACATGAAGAAATACTTAACATGTTACATGTTGCTTGTAATCTTGCTGGGAGGGGGTGTATATATGGATTCTTTCCTATGTCGACTCTGTCTAAAGGAAGATGAAAATACCAATCACGTTTTCTTTAGATGTGGTTATGCTATTGTGGTGTGGGACTGGTTTGGTGTTTGGTTAGGTACAAGCAATATGGCCCCTCAAAATTTCTCCTCCTTGATTTCGGCTTTTAAGTCTACAGACGTTGATAAGAAGAAATTTAAGTTGATTATTGCCCTTTCATACACGTTGTGGTCTCTCTGAAAAGCCAGAAACGATAGAATTTTCAAGAAGGGGAAGGGCAGCCCTATGATAACGGCGGATGATATTTAGATCTCTTCATTATGTTGATTCGATTGGTGTAGCTCTCCTATATGTATTTGTACTACCATATGTAATTTTTCTAGCATCTTGTTAGCTCATTTAATATATTTCCACTCATTAGAAAAAAAAAAAAAAAAAAAAAAAAACTTAGAAAGAAAAAGAGACATGCATGCAAATAGAGCTTATATTTGTTTATGTTTTAAAAAATATATATTTTTATTATAATTTTAAATTTCAAGTTTTTAAGTTTTATTCATGATTTTTTTTCTTCTAATTTATGTTTTCATTTTTACTCCTGAAAATATATATAATGCTCGTGAACGGTTCGCTAACTTGGGTAGAGATGTACACAAATCAATTTGTGTCCAATTTTGAACAATCCATTTTTTGAACAAAAATAGAATAATTTTTATGATTGCACAGGCTCGATCAATTTTTTGTTTTTTGTTTTTTTTTTTTTTTCATTTTCTGTAAGCTTTAAGTTTTCTGAGGACGGTTAATCCAGTTTAAGGCCAGTTTTTTTATCACGTCAAATATTTTTGTACCAAAAAATATATAATTTTTTGTAAACAACTTCTACACAATATTTGGTAATTACTATCACTGCTAGCAACTAGCAAGTAACAAAAATAAAAATAAAAACTTTATGTAATATATATGTTTTATGAGAAAATAATGATGAAATACTATTTTAAATTAATCAGTTGTAACTATATGGTGCAAAAAAGAGAGTCCAAAGTCAAGGCCCTCCATTTCTAAATTTTCCCTAAAAGTTAAGCCGCCTTAAATTTCTACAAGAATCGAGAGCTTCCATGTCGATGAGAAGGCCGTTTTTCGTCCTCTAGTCTGCGACTAAGACCAACGATCACCACCACCCGACGACCAAGCTAAATCACCAACACCTAATCAAGAAGCAGCAGATAAGTGTTAATGTATTTTTCTAACCCTACTTCTTTCTTTAGGTTATTTCCATAAAAAACCTTATATTTTGATTTTTTTTCTTTTTAGACCTAAAACTTTTTTCTTTTCCGAAAAAGTCCCAACGTTTACCTATTACTTGTTATTTTAGACCCTAGCAGGTTACCAAAAGAGAAATTAAGTATTTTCATTTAAAAAAAAACCCTAAATTTTGTACTTTTTTTCAGTTTAGACCTAAAATGTTTTTTTTTTAATTTCAAAATAAACTCAACTTTAAAATTGGTTACAACCTTTAACACTAGTTGTATAAGGTACTTAACTACACCGATTTAATGAAGCTTAACTTCGTTCATGCATAAAAACGTGATTATATCCTTTCAAATTAAAATAAAATCCTAAATTTTATTTTGGTAATTATTATGATTATCCTTAAGTATCAATAACAGTGATATACAAACACCATGTATTGATCTAAACACAATGTATACATAAGATAGATTAATAAAATGAGGTAGTAGGCCAACTATTCAATTTTCTTTTCTCTACAACAAAATTCATAGTTTTGTCCGTTTTGCTCATTCACTACGTTCCAACCATTGTTAATAATGTCAACCATTGTATTTTGATATTTAAATGTGCGGTATCATTCTTGTTATTTGGATTTCAACTTATGTTCAAATGGTTTCATTCTCAAAATATAGTTTTATGTATTCATATGTGATGTTAACATTTTTTAAGGAAGTCTTAAACTTGAATCTCATATATCTAAACAAAACTAATACGAATGTTTATGATTAATATTTTTATGTATTTATTTGATATAATTATAACATATTATTTAATAATGGGCTAATGCTACAAAATATTCTATGGGTTTAGTTTAGGAGTATGATAGTAAGTGTGTTTGTTAACTGTTCTAAAAAAATTAATTAAAAAATTCGGCCAAAAAAATAATATAGAAAAGTGAGAGAGGGAAATATGTCCAAACTCACCAAATAAGTATAATAGACAAACTAAAAAAATTATTTTGTATACAGTTTGTTAAATGATATGGTATTTTTTTTTCTACAAATAAAAAAAATTATTATTATGTTAAAAGATTATTCTTAGCCATATATTATCCATGTTACCAAAAAATATCAAATTAACATCAAACTTTTTATTAGCGGTAATAATAACATTTTCTATAAACAAAATATCAAGTTTAATGATATAATATATATCCAAGATAAAATTTAATTATATCTTTTAGACAAAAATAAAATTTTGCATTTCTTTTAGGTTATATTCGCTCAAAATATAATAGATTAGATAACATTTTTTAGTGTATGCATGTATACTTTCTTTTTCGGTGTAGTCAAGAAGTAGCTTAT